GAAGAAGAAGAAGAAGAAGAAGAAGAAGAAGAAGAAGAAGAAGAAGAAGAAGACAATGAAGAAGAAAGAAAAAGAAGAGGAGAAGAAAGGGTATGTGGGAGGCGGGAGGCTTTGGAGGGAGGAAGGGAAAGGGGAAAATGATATATTCATATTATAATCTCAAAAATAGAAGAAATAATTTTAAATTCTGTTAAACAAAAAAAACAAGTGGAAACTAGGTGTTGTGGTTCATAGTTATTTAATCCTAAAACTCAGGAGGCTGAGGCAGGAGGATTATCATTTAGTTCAATACCAGACAGACCTCACCAGCATCCCGAATAAATAAACCAGGAAAAGAAGAGAACAATGTAGAGGTCAAAGTGCAGGTCCAAAGGCTTGCAAGAGCCCACACTGCGGCAGCTTTTCCCAGGCAGTAACTCCGGTGCGGAAGCATTTCCTTATCCTTTGATCCTTTCCTGCTCCACAGGACAGCACTGCTTTGCTCTGCTGTATTCTAAAGATTTTCTTCACTGTTCTTCCCTCTGCTGCCGAGGGGGTGGGGCGGATGCTCCCCTCTTCTTCACTCTGTTACCTTTGGGCCTCAGTTTGCTTTGCTTTTAGGTATAGCTTCCTTTTCTGCGAAAGCCATCCTAGTTTTAGCTTCTTAATCTCTTTTGATTCCCTAGTCTTCCTGGCTTCTTTTTCCCACTTGGCTGGTCACCTGGTCACCTTTGTTATTTGGCTCACTCCCACTCCTTCCCCCCACACCACCCCCAGCCTCACCCCGTGGCACTACAATCTGCCCTGTTTGAATTCTCTCCCCTTTTTAATGAGGGGAACTGCTCTCATTTTTATCTATACATTTCTTATTTCAGCCTTTTTAACTATCATTAATTCCAGGATTTAAAATTTTTATCTTCTGGAGACTTCTTTATTTTCCTTCAGTTCTTCTTTGTTTTTGACATAAAAAGGAAATTTCAGAATCAAGCATTTTGATAGACCCTATAATCCTGGAGCTCAGGAGGTACAGGAAGGAGGGACAGAAGTTCAAGTTCATCCTCTGCCTCTACCGCATAGTGAGTTAAGGGCCAGCCTGGGCTACTGAGACTGAGTCTGACTCGGTTTGGTCTTACTCAGTTTCCTAGTCCTTGGAAACATCATGTCTTTTGTCTTATTTTGCTGACCATTCTTAGAGGCAAATAGTGGGGTAAATAAAGACAGTCTCTGGATGGCTTTCTTCACTGCTTTAGTTCTGTTCTCTAAGACTTTCTTCCTAATTCAAGGAAAACTTCGTTATAGTCTTTCCACTACCCTCCGGCCCAGTACCACCATCCACAGTGCATCCTCTCAATCAGCTTTGTAGACCACCCCACCAACTTGCTCTTCGTGTATGGAATCTCCTCCTGGCCCAGGAATGGTGGGCACATTCATTCCTTCTCCAGCTGACACCACTGCTTCTGTCACAGGAAAAATGCTTGCACCTCGGTCAAGCACTCCTTGATCAGTGCTTACACCCTGGGCAACTCCTCCCTCAAGGATGCACCCATCCCCCTCATAATACAGCTCAGAGCCATTTGACTTGAAGTCAGATGAGGACTGACTCTGGTATTTACTAACTATGACTGAATGGTGTTCAACTGGAGATGCTCTTGGGGAAGGTTGTCGGGAGGCCTCTGTCACTTTCTTCATCCTTTAGAAAATGGTTCTTTCCATAGCCACATTTCCATCTTTGTCCAATACCAAGACCTTTGCCTTTGCTACCCGAAGTGTAGGCCTGCCTGGAATCTAAATCTGTGGTTCACTTTTCCTGACTTCTCCTTTCTCCTGGGCTCAGCCATGATGACGGAGTTTCATGACTACTTACCTCAGGAGACACTTTCGAAGGCCATAGGATGCAAAGCTGGAGAGCTGAGAAAAAGAGGGAAACGGGGACACTTCTGTTAATTCACTGGTTATCTGGGGTTCTACTAATGGCCACATAGCTTGACTCCCTCAGTTTCTTTTTTCCTAGAATGGAGCAGTCCTTGGCCCATCTAAGCATGTCAAGGCAGACATCATGGCATAATGCACTTCCAACCTGAGCTGAGCTGTCTGAAGGCACCAGCATTGACCTACCTCCATCCAGAAGTGCCAGGAAGGCCAAGATGAGGAATGGTGAGGCCTTGCCCACAAATTCATACATCACACTTCCAAAAGGTGCTCCCACTGAAAGGAAAGGCAGCACAGACACCTGCAGTGAGACTCTTCCCCATCACCTGCGCAGCCATTACTGAAGGCCTTTAGGGGCTAAGCTCTACTGAGGCTCGGGGCTCAGGGGTTGAGAAGATTCAGTCTCTGTCCTCGAGGGCAAAGACCTTTCTAGTAAATAGAATTTAGCAGGGCAGGGTAAGGGAGGTAATATGAATTGAAATGTGGCAAAAATGCTCAGCAGTAAATGGTCTTGTGCACCAGATACTGTGTTGCACTAGTGAAATGATTCAGAAAGCTCAGGTGGCCACAAACTCCTTTCCAAGTCTACTGCCCTGGGGTGATGTGTAAGAGCAAGCCTGAGGGGTCTAAACGTGCGTGGAGGCAGATGTGAATGGAGCGTGAGTATTTTGAGGGGAAATATGAAGATGAAGATGGTTCAGGCAGCATTAATCAAAGGCTCTAGATGTCCAGAAGTGGTATCTCCTAGGCCTTGTTGGTTATCAAGAAACATGATACGTTTTAGCAGAGAAGAAATACCACCTATTGTAGGCTCCAAAAGATTCTTTGGGTGGTATGTACCATGAAGGAAGGAGGGGGTATAAAAGAGAACCAGTAGGAGGCTAGTGCCACGTTCCAACCAAGAAAGAGGGAAAAGCTGACCTAGAAGGGGCTCTAAGGGATGGAGCGTGCTTGTTCTGCTGATAGTGACTGTGATGAAGGAGTAAAATATGACCCACATCCAACGGTGGGTATCATTGGCTGGTAACAAAGAACAAAGCCTTCTTTCTTCCCTCTCTTTTCTACCATTGGTGGCTGGTAGGGTACAGGTCAGAGAAGAGACTTGGGTCTTCCCTCAGCAACCTTGTAAACTCCCTGAGTGCAGAACATTGTTGAAACCTGTAACCTCTATGTCATCTGTGCCAGCCTTGTACTTGGCATGGGGAGAGTGCTCAGCAAAAGGAAAGCTTGTTCAATTAGTCAATATGAAGTCTATGCCTCGAGGAAAACATAAGCATGGTGTTTGGAGCTAGGGCTTCTGAGTATAGAAAATCTGAGTCCCTATTTCTGGCTCTCGAATTACTTTCAGTAGCTCCTAAATCATTCTTTTTCTTATCTTTTCCCTGGGAACAACCATTCATCCTTCACCAATTGGTAATGAAGATTAAAAGAGATGACTTGTGTGAATTCAGCAGAGACTCTGGGAAAAGACCAGCTGTCCTGTGGAAAACCCCAGCTGTGTATGGAAGTAGAGGTGAGGGGGTGTGGTCACTAATGCGCGGACATTCACTCTCTCAGACAGATTGGCCTTCAGGACATCCCCAGACCCTCCTGCATTTTGTAGCTTCTTGAGGAGAAAGAAATGTCATCATTCCCTAGTGATCGATCTCAAGGAATGAACACAGTTGGGCCAGGGAGGTGCGGAAAATACTTGTCCTCCACGACAGGAGGTACCTGCCTCCTGGAGCCATCTCTACAGAATGTGCAATGCCCCATCTACTGAGCTCAGGTCTTTGTCTAGCCACTACTTACCCAGAAGCCCCAGAGCCAGGCCTCCCAAAGCAATTCCCATGGCTCTCCCTCTCTCGTAATTGTCAGTATAGACACTGGCCAGCATCCCAAGCCCTGGAGAGAAAATAACAGTTAGAGCTGGCATATGAGAGGTTGCTGATTGCTTCTCACAGCCCTTGGTCCAAACCCTGTAATATCTTGAGTAATGACCTTTACTGGATATTTCATTTGAGGGATTTTATAAGACTTAACTCACAGTATATCACAAATAATGTCCCCCACGGTTGCCTCTCCGTCCTCCCTTACATACACCTTATTACTTTGGTGCTGACATTGTTAATATTGTTAAAAATGAGAAGCCTTAGAGAAAGGGTAGTATAGTAATACTATTGTCTAGTTATTTCATGTTTCATAGGGTTTTATCATGTCCTTATACACCTCCCTGCATGAAGAAGTCATAGACCAGGAGATCAGGAGAAAGGAAGACAAATGAGTGGACTACTATATTCAGTATGGTGCTCAAAAAGGAACACGAAAATACTAGGCACCCAGGAGAGCGCATAGACTGGCAATATCTGGCAAGTATACCATCAGGCCATTCAGCTGTGTAAATGGCATAACATGGCAGCCTCCTGAGATACTGTGACATTTTTGCTTATCAATACTTAGAAAACTCCAATAACATTACTGAAATAGCAATTCCTATTAAATTAAAAGCAAAAGCAAAGGGAGGGCCACGAAGAGGCAGTTGATAAAAGGCTGACCTTAGGCTTATTCTTACATGAGCTGGCTGCACCTGAATGACATCAGAGGTTAATCCAGGCCAGAATTTATGGGCCCTGCCCACAAGTCTACAATCAGTTCATTCCCAAATCATCACAGTTGCTACCTCCATGGATGGCATTCTCCTTAGCCTCTTTATATACATTCTATGTAGCACCTAAAGTAGTAATAAGAGGGCTGTGTGTGTGTGTGTGTGCGTGTGTGTGTGTGTCTCTCTGTGTGTGTGTGTGTGTGTGTGTGTGTGTGTGTTGCAGTATTACCTGCAACAGATGAAAATGAAGATCCAATGCCTTGGAGAGTTCGGGCCACAAATAGCACGGCATAGGTGCCAGAGAAAGCAAACACTGGGAAAGAGAAGAAGCAGAATGATCCAGGATGGGGTAAAGAGACACATTTTTCTTATATACTAGTGGACTGCTTGGGTCCTGTAAATAGCCCCCCCAACCACTCATCCGTGAGTAACCCTAATTCAACTTGTAGCAGGAGGATTCCTTGGGAAGAGGAGGCATCATTGAGAGTGAGGATGGATAAAAGAGGGTAATTAGGGAGGAGGGTGAACATGATAACTGTGTCACCATCCTCTGCACCTGCACTGTTATGCCTGCTCCCCTGTCTCTATGTATTCCCCCCCCCCCCGAAAAGACTGCTCAAGGAGAAATCCAAACTTAGGTGATAGGCTGCCAAATGTATCTCCTTGTTCCTGTTTTTGTTCCTGTTCCTGTTTTGTTCCTGTTTTGTGGGGAGTATAAAAGAGAGCTACGCAGTTGAAAATAGAACATTTGGTCTTTACCAGATGACTCTTTGTCTTTCTTTCTCTCGCCCTCAGCCCTCCTGCCGATCCAAGGAACTGAGTCAGCTATGCTGGCGTAGCTGACACATGGTCAAAAATACATAATATGCATGAAACTCAAAATGAAACCCATTGTTAGATATTGGGCTAATTAGGGTAATTGTCACAGTTAGATCTGGTGATCAACTTAACATAGCCCAGAGTCATCTGGGAAAAGGACTTACCTCAGGTGAGGAATTGCCTAGACAAGGTTGGCCTGTGGCCACATCTATGAGACATTTTCTTAATTGTTAATCGATACAGGAAGACACAGCCCCACATAGGCAGAGCCATTCCTAGGCAGATGGTCCAGGATGGTACAAGATAGGTAGCTAAGCAAGCTATTAGGAGCAAGCTAGTAAGCATCATTTCATGATCTCTGCATCAGTTCCTGCCTCTGGGTTCCTGCCTTGGCTTTTCCCAACATGGACTATACTCTGTAAGCCCAACCAATTCTTTTTTTTTTCACCAAGTTGCTTTTGGTAAAAACATTTTTATCACAACAACAGGAAACAAAATAGGGTATTAATAAAACTCTTTTTTAAAAGAATGATTTTTAGGCCAGAGAGATAGCTCGGTGGGTAAAAGTACTTGCTGCCAAGCCTGCAGCATGAGTTCAGTCTCTGAACTACATGGTGAGAGAGAACCAACTCCTGTGAGTTGTCCTGTCACTTTAATGCGCTCTGTGGCATAGATATAGAGTAAAATAAATAGATAGGTAAATAAATAAATATGCACAATAAATACATACATCAAGAATTCCTTTAAGCCGGGCGGTGGTGGCGCACGCCTTTAACCCCAGCACTTGGGAGGCAGAGGCAGGCAGATTTCTGAGTTCGAGGCCAGCCTGGTCTACAGAGTGAGTTCCAGGACAGCCAGGGCTACACAGAGAAACCCTGTCTCGAACCCCCCCCCCAAAAAAAGAATTCCTTTAAGAATATAAACAAGAGGTAGGAGAGGAGGAGGAGGAGGAGGAGGAGGAGGAGGAGGAGGAGGAGGAGGTCGGCTCCATTAGCAAGCTGACTCAGAGTCCTTCGAAGATGTTCTAGGCAGAGACGAGTCACTATTACATAGACCTTAAGCATACATGATGAGATGAGACCCATTATTTCATAGAAGTAACGTATTCAGGGGCTGGGAAGATGGCTCAGCAGTTAAGAACATTGGCTGCTCTTTGAGAGGTCTCTGGTTCAATTTCTACCACCCACATGGCAGCTTACAACAGCCTAACTCCAGTTCTAGGAAATCTGACACCTTCATACAGAAATACCTGTAAGCAGAATACCAATACACATAAAGATAAGTATATTTAAATTCTTTAAAGAATCAACATTTAAATATAACAGTTGGGATCAATTAAATGATGCTGACTGTGCTGCTCTGCCGGACCGGTAGCAGATGTAAAAAAGAAAAAGCACATCCAACTCATGGTCTTGAAGGCACACCATCTATTAGTAACTAATACAAACGAAACTGAGAGACAAACTAGAGAGTGCTGTCTCACACTAAATTACAGGTTGGTAGACCCAGACATCCCTCATCCTCGACTCCCAAACAATATCTCCAAAGGGGGAAAAATCCTTCTCAAGATGCCTGAACCAGACAAACGTTAATCTTCCTGACCACTCATTACAGGTGTCTTTGGTTGCGTTTTATGAGCTCAGTTGCAGCCCAACATGACCACACCCAACTGCCCATTGTCTCCCCAAAGCACACATTCTTGGTCCCTCCTTATTTTGGCCTAGAATGCCCATCCTCAGACTTTCTAAGATCTAGTAAGCTCAAACCCCACCACTTTTACCATCTCAAAGAAGGGAGTGGCCAATTTGTCCCGCATTACCTGTAAGTTTTTTAGTTTCAGAACTGAAAGCCACATTGAACAAAACCTCAGTCATGGAAAAATAGGACAGTTGGTCACACTACTGGGACTGGGGAGATGGCTCAGCAGTTGAGAGCACTGACTGTTCTTCCAGGTCCTGAGTTCAATTCCCAGCAACCACACAGTGGCTCACAACCATCTGTAATGGGATCCAATGTCCTCTTCTGGTGTGTCTGAAGACAGCGACAGTGTATTCGCACACATAAAATAAATAAATAAATAAATAAATATTTTTAAAAAACAATCTTTTTTTCCTTTTTCTAAATTAATGTGGGCCGTTATTTGTTACATTAACAATTCGCAGAGAGGGGCTCCAGAGATGAGTGATAGGCACCAGTAAACTTTTCTTAGTAATTTTGCTTTTTTTTGAGACAGGACCCCTTGTAGTATGGGCTAGCCTTGGACTCCCTATAGCCAAGGATGACAATGACCTTCTAATCATCCTGCTTCTAGCTCCCAAGTGGTAGGATCACAGGCCTGTGCCTGCACACCCAGTTCTTGCTTATTATTTTATTCAAACCCTAAGGCTTACACAGGCTGTCCTAACACTCAAATATATTTTCTTTTGTACAGAATTAAGCTAAGTCAATAGAACAACACTAGTGACATCATAGAAACCATAATTGTTATTTAACACACACAATGAAGTAAATGGAGAAGCTTTTAATCTATTGTTTCTTGGCAGAGGAGCAGGCAAGAATTTTACTCTAAATAGGTTAGGTTGCAGATGCATTTCATGGTCTTATTTGCAGGATATGGTCACAATTCCCAAGGCAATCACCACACCTCCTCTACACACATGGATCATATTTTATTCTTTATATGTGTTCCAGATTTATGTGAGTATACTGTAGCCATCTTCAGACATGTCAGAAGAGGGCATCAGATTCCATTATAGATGTTTGTGAGCCACCATGTGGTTGCTGGGAATTGAGCTCAGGACCTCTGGAAGAGCAGTCAGTGCTCTTAACTGCTGAACCATCTCTCCAGCTCCAATTTTTTTTTAATTTTTATTATTTTTTTTTTTGGCTTTTTGAAATAGGGTTTCTCTGTATATCCCTGGCTGTCCTGGAACTCACTCTGTAGACCAGGCTGGCCTCAAACTCAGAAATCGGCCTGCCTCTGCTTCCAAGTGCTGGGATTAAAGGCATGCGCCACTACTGCCCGGCTAGAAATGTTTTAAATGAATTTCTAAGTCACATTGGATGACTGAGATCCTTAATTTGCTCTCTAACACAAGCTGAACTTATAGAAGACTAATGAACACTGCCAATCTGAACTTCCCAATTTTTTTTTCTTAGTAAATGTTGTTCTTCTACAACTTCATACTTGTATACTCTGGTCCCCACCTACCACCCTCTCCCATTTTCCTCCTAAGCCAATCAGCCCCTCCAGCCCCCATAAATCCCTTGCCTTCATTAACTGGTTTTGGTTTTGGTTTGTGTCCCACAGAGTTTGATGAGGATCTTCTCTCTGACCCCAAGTTTAGAACTAGGCATCAGAGCCTGATGACTTCATTTTCTTTTATTCAGTTATAATTGCGCAAGTGGATTTCCTGTGGTCAGCTAGAATGTCCCATCTCGAGTTCTTACATCCATAAATGCAGCTACCTCTTGTTAACTTTGCATTGGGTCAGTTCTTAGTCTGGGAGGGAAGAAAAGCTGAGAAGGCAGATATGTGATAGAAAACTCAGAAAAGAGACCGAAACGGAGCAGCTGCGTAGTTTGGAGCACAGAATCAGCGGAACCAATGGTGGGTTCGCGGTGCCTTCCCTGCATTGATCCCTCCCGTGGACATCCCAAGGGCTCCCCCTTTGCAATACTCAGGCTTAAACATCACGCTTGTTCCTCTCACTGCATTCATTCCACCTCCGTTTTATTAGAAACGTCAAGCTGATACTGGGTGAGATTTGTCATTTACTTTCTGGTTTCTGTAGCAAATTTGCTTTCCTAAGGTATAACCTTTAAAGCCCTTAGCCGGGAAACACCAGGCTTTGGGGACTTTTCTAGTTACTATGATCCAACATCCGTTTTCGTTGTAAGTCACCCTTTACATAGCATACCAACAACATACTATCTCTTCAACAATGGAAGGTTTGCAAGTAAGCTTGCTCAAGAGTTTAGTTACACACAAGTGTATACACACATACACACACACACACACACTCACACACACACACCTATCTCCCCAAACAAGTAAATGTACAGACACACAGCCCTCATGATTTTCACTGAATTAAGAATCTGTTCTCCACCAGGCAGTGGTGGCACACACCTTTAATCCCAGTACTTGGGAGACAGAGACAGGCGGATTTCTGAGTTCCAGGTCAGCCTGGTCTACAGAGTAAGTTCCAGGACAGCCAGGGCTACACAGAGAAACCCTGTCTCAAAAAACTTAAAAAAAAAAAAAAAAAGAAAGAAAAAGAAAAAGAATCTGTTCTCCAAATACAGAGGCAGAGGCAGATGTTTGCAGCCAACCATTGGACTGAGGGCAGGGTCCCCAATGGAGGAGCTGAGGGGGATTGCAGCCCCTTGAGGGGAGCAACAATGTCAACTAGCCAGACCTCAGGAGCTCCTGGGGACTGGACCATCAACCAAAGAGAACATATGGAGGGACCCATGGCTACAGCTGCCTATGTGGCAGAGGGTGACCTTGTTGGACATCAGTGGGAGGAGCGGCCTAACCGGTTTGATGCCCCAGTGTAGGGGAATGCCAGGGCTGGAAGGCAGGAGTGGGTGGATGGGTGGGGAGCACCCTCATAGAAGCAGAGGGAGAAAGGATGGGATAGGGGGTCTCCAGAGGGGATCCCTGGAAAGGGGATAACATTTGAAATGTAAATAAAGAAAATATCCAATAGAAGGAAAATAAATAAATAAATAAATAGATAAATAAATAAATAGATAAATAAGAATCTGTTCTCCTATAGGAGATGAGAATGATTACAATTAGAGGAGGTGTCTACTGACACTATCCCAGTCCCTGTCCCAGTGACTGAAACATTCAGTCAATGTCACAGCTGACTTGTTCTCTGGGTAACTCAACCCTGCTCTGACACTTCATTTACGTGATGGAATCAAAGATGCTTAGTAAAGGAAAGCCAATGACTTACTTAGTGTGGAGAGAAACATGATCACAAAGCCAACAAACATGGGGATGTGATAGCCGATCCTAAAATGAAAGTCAACAAAGAAAGAGCATTGTAGCAGGCATTCGTATACTTGGATTTTTTTCATCTGAGTGGGAAGAAAGATGGGGTTAATTTGAGAGAATGCTTTTAATATATAAATACATACTCATAAGTAAACAAACATGTAAATCTATCCACAGACAAGGCCCAAAGTATTCTTCCCAGAAAAGGCATCTCTCAAAACCTCGGAATCACCCTAGATGAGTTTTCTAGGAAGCCAGAGCTTCCTTCACACTGCGTTCAGTCTGCCCTATGCTCTCCAGCAGCCCACTCAATCCATGACCTGCCAGCTGTTCACTGCTTCTGCTCTCAGCCTCAATATTCACATCACTAAGAAAATGTGAAGACTGCGACATTTCACCTAAAACCTGTCATCCTTTAGGATAACAAGCTTCCACACTGCTGTCTCCCCCGGGGACCAGAACATTCCTTCTTTGCTCGTCTAACCACCTATATCAGTGGTTTTCAACCCATGGGTCACAACCCTTTGGAGGATGAGTGACCCTTTCACAGGGATGGCATATCAGATATCCTGTATATTAGATATTTACATTACAATTCATAACAGTAACACAGTTACAGTTATGAAGTAGCAACAAAAATAACTTTTGGTTGGGGGTCACTAAAACATGAGGAACTGTATTAAAGTGTCACAGCGTTAGGAAGGTTGAGAACCACTGCCCTGTGTGAAGCCTGGGCCTCTGTGTTAAGCCTGAGTCTGTACTTTGTAGATGGGATGCTTTGGTGTTTGAATGAGAATTGCCGCCACAGGCGCATATATTTGAACACTTAGTTACCAGGGAGTGGCACATTGGAAGGATTAGAAAGTTTAAGAAATGTGGCTTTATTGGAGCAAGTATGTCACTGGGGGTGGGCTTTGAGGTTTCAAAAACTCATACCAACTCCAGAGTCATTCTTTCCCTCTCTGCTTGTAGATCAGGATGTAGTTTTCAGCCCCTGCTCCAGTACCTATAAGCATACTGCCATTCTTCCTGCCATGATGATAATGTACTAACCTTCTGAAACTGTAAGCAAGCCCCAAATTTAAATGTTTGGTCATGGTGTCTCTTCACAGCAATAGAGGAGTGACTAAGACAGAAACTGTAGCTCCTGAGTTACCTGTTAGTAAGAGGTCCTACAAATGGGTTGACCAGAAGTTGCATCAAAGCCTTTGAAGCAAATAGAATCCCAATCCGGATGTTTTCTTCTTCCAAGAACTCTATCCCTTGCAAGCAGTTGTTTTTAGGTACTGAGCCAGCTTCGGTGACAGGAGGAGGGATGGTACCATTTGTCCATGCTACACGAAAGGGTACGTGCTCTTCTACAGTCATGGTGGTGTTGTCAAAGAAGGAGAACATGGTAGAGAAGGCAGGAGAGGTGAGAGATTGCTGGGAGCTTACAGAAGGACCCTGATGCAGAGAGGAGTTGAAGTCTTTGAACTCTGTCGCATACAGGAAGGTGGGCACAATGGGCACTGAAAATCAATGAGGATATATGAGGAGAGTTGAGGACAGGGATCCTTTAGCCTCTACTATGTGGAAAGGAATTACTCTGAGGAACAATTTTATGTAGAAGGAAGTGACATTATTTAAAGCCTAATGAAGATGATACCTGCCCAAATCATCCTATTAGCTAACGGACCAAATTCTATCCATGATTCAGTTCGTTTTCATGAATTTGTGTCATCCTTACTGGTTAATTTACCTACTCGTATCTTGTATAACTTGAGCATCGGTACTATAATGATTTTTCACTGATGGGAGCCAAATGGGAAAAGAATAGAGCAACCCAATGGACATAGTCTATAGATGCATATTCACCCATAGAATATGCGCACATTCCAGCTGAAGAACAAAGAGGTTCTGCCTCCTTGTATTAGGTACCAGATGACCGAGGCTAAGTACCCAGGTGGGGTAGTGTGAGAAGCTCTGACTCTGAAGCAGTTCACAGGGACGGAATTCCAGCCCCAGCACTTGCTAAGGGAAAGTTTGGACATGTCGTTTAACATCTTGTGCCTTTTTTTTTTTTTTTTTTTGTAAAAGAGACAGAACCAACCAAGATGCATTGATATCGAAACTTAACAATCTCTATGGTGAGATGGAGTGTATGTATGCATATTTCCCTTTGATGCAAAGATCCCATATTTGCTATGTCAGTGTTTGTGAGAGTTTTCTGAATATGACTCTAACTTTAGAACCACAAGAAATAAGGATCAACTCTATTAGATTGTCTGATTGTCACAAGAAGCCTCTTCTTTAAAGCAGATATCTCACTCAGGAGCAACAACATGCTATAACTTAGTCATACACTTCTGTAATGTCATGTAAAATTAATGAAGTTATCAGCCAGAACATCATACAAGGCAATGAACTGCCAACAAGACAGGGCTTGGTAAGGACTTGGATGTCCTATGTTTGCAAAGAAGAGGCTGGAGGAGCATCACAGAAAGATGCAGCTCACTACCCCAGGTGACTCTAGTCATCAGTGACCATTGATAAATGTAATGGTGAAAACATGACATCCTGGCTTGGGTCTTCTCTCCCTGCCAGGTGCTTATAAACTTGTTTCTGTTAAGAACTCTGGAGTCATTAGTCTCAAGGACAGCCTTCAGACCCTCCTGTCTATAGTTCCAGCCAACCCTCAATCAAGCAGGGTACATGCTGCCTGCTGTGACCCAAAGCAGATACACCCTCAGCACCAAAGCCCCAAACGTACCCACCACAGTGAGCAGCATGTTGTCCAGGAGCAGAGCAACAAACACCACCACCAGAACCAGCTTCCGGGACTTCCTCCCTTCCTTCAGCAACCGCTGAGGAACACCCAGAACAACCTGGAACATGGCAAGGGCTGCAGGAGGCTGGGCTGGGTAAGGAATAGGATGGTGGGGCCCTTCTCCTCTGGGTTCTTAGGAAGGCCCCTTGACAGGCGTGGTCTTCTGTCACCTTTACAGGAGAAGGCAAAGGCTACCTGGTCCAGTGAAGCTCACTGTTCAAATGAAAAGCATGAAGGGTTGTAAGTAGCACAAGAGTTTGAATTTTCCGTGTCTCTTTGTTCATTTCTTATACAATTTCAATAATTCAACATTTCCCACAATGCCTTCCAGAGAATTTTTGCTGTCCAGAGATTTAGGTCTGAAATCACACCTACTCCATTAAATAGACAACAGATGAACGGCCTTCTTGTTTCTCAACTGTCAGACACCAGTCACTCGTCTGCATGGTGCACACCTCTCCTGAGCCACTACTCTCTTTCCCTTCTAATTTTTAGACAGTTTTAATTTTGAAATACTGTTGTAAAAGGCAACTTCATGAGTCAGGCATGGTGGTGCACACCATAATCCCAGCACTTAGGAGATGAAGCCAGGAAAAGCATAAGTCTAGGGCCTCGTCTGTACTACATAGACATCCAGGTCACAGCTACACAGCAAGACCTTGTCCCAAAAATCAAGCAAATACAAATAAAAGTAATTTTATGACTATGCAAAAAACAAAGTCTTAAGTTTATCACCTCTCAAAAATTATAATGTAGGAAACTGTAGCATGCAAAAATATGTCATGCTGTCTGTTTGTCTACTGGCAAGCAAAACAGTTTAAAAAAGTCAAAGACTCGGAAGCTGGAGAGATTTGTCCTGGTCTCACAATTGATGTCAAACAGAGCTAAAAATCCCAAGCTTCTTAACTTGTATATTTGTACTCTATTTTTTTCTGTGGATATACAATGTTAGAAGTGCTCCCGGGTTTGTATTTAAGCTTTAGAGCCCTGTTCAGAGAGGTGTGTCACTGTGTACTAACATAGTAACTCTCACAAGGAGTTTCCTTAGTGAACTGCTATATCTGTAGTTTCATGTTCAGGAACCTGTATCAGACGTCACAATCATGTCACAGTTGCTTCTCTAACCTCAGGGAATCACGAATTCTGAGAGGATTTTATTTGCTCTTTATGAGGCTTCTATGGCAATGCCAACAATACCAATCATTTAACATGAAAGTGGTTTACTATCATAAAATATATGATACGTACACGATGCTGTATTCATAGCTTGCCATATGTGTGTGAAAAAGAAGCATGCTTCTGTGACACACTACAGCTTGCACAGTGAGATTTTTTTTTCTTTGTTGGGTGGTTGTTGCACGGGCAGAGGGCAGGTATGAGGGGACAGAGAGGTGAGTGGGGTTGGAGTGCCTGATATAAAATTCATAAAAAAGCAATAAAAAATTTTTAAAGAGATTTTTAAAGTGTGCTTATTTTTAAGACTAGAAAGACTCACATCCAAGCGCTGGTTACTTACACTCAGTGACTTTACTCTTTACCTGGCTTCTCATTTTCAAATAATTCTATGATGAGCCAGTACAAGCAGTAAGTGATTTTGAGTGGTTATCCCTAGGATTAAACATCAGCCTCAAATGGTAGAAGTACCACAGGCACCAAGCTTATGACTTCTAAGTCTGGGGCCAGAAGAATACCCTCCATGCTACCGTTCAAGGAGCAGGCTCTCAAGTGAAACAAATTCATGGATAACTCTGAACCCACAACCACATCCAAGTGATCTGAGACCTTTCCTTTCTTCGTATAATAAATTTCAAACTACAAACTTACTTAAGACACATAAAAATCAGAGTAAGAAATGACTAAAAAGAAAGCAACAGGAATAAAAAGTGGTTAAGCAGAGTAAAATACATAGAGTGAGACTAAACATACAATAAAACAATATAAACATAATCCCACAAAAAACATACAATAAATGAAATAAACATAAAATAAAACAACAAAAACAGAACAAGAAATCTGTCAAGCCATTCATAGTAAACTCAACAGGCAAAACCCTCTAACAAGAAACAGAAATTTTAAGGAAGAATTAAATCCGTTCAGAAAAAGAAAAAGAGTCTTACCTTACAGCTCATCTTGATGTGAGGTACTCCAAGAGTAACTGGCAGCTGCTGGCAAGACAGCGGAGACTCTGTACTCTGAAACTGGATGTGCTGATGGATTTATTGCTGCCTGTTATTTGAGGATGGTGTGTGTGCGTGTGTGTGTGCGTGTGTGTGTGTACCCACACGCACTTTGTCCACAAAGATTTAATTGGAGCCTCCAACAGATTTCCTTTAGACCCTTAGCTCTCTGCGTCAGAGGCTGACAGGGCCAGGGCTGGAGAGGCCACAGGGAGTGTGCTTTTCCTAAGCAAAGAGGCTCTGGGCGGTGCTGGTTTCCATCTGTGCTTATCTCTCACATTACTCTTTTAATTCTTGCCTAGATCTGGATGCAGACTAGAATGCCAGATAGAACCAGGGTGCATTTCCTTCCCTTCGCTTCTTAAAGATGCCTCTTGTGCTCCAGTGCTTTCCTTAAAATGTGAAACACTTATGTGAAGAAGAAAATAAGTGCTTACTGTTTTCTAGCCATAAAACCTAATAGCTAGGGCTGGGGAGATGACCCCACACACAGTATAAAGACCCAAGTTTGACTCCTAGTACCCACAAAAATAAATAAATAAATAAATAAATAAGTAAATAAATAAATCAGAGTGACAGTGCAAGCCTGTAATCATAGCATGGGAAGGATGGAAACAGGTTTCCTGGGTCTTTCTGGCCAGCCAGTATAGCTGAAGGAGCAAGCTCTAGGTTTAGTAAGAGACTGTCTCAAAAACTGTGGAGACAAATTGAGGAAGACACCCAACATTGACTTCTGGCTTCCACACATATATGCACACACATGCATTTGCACATGGTCATGTAGAAGCACACATAAATATATGCAAATCAAACATCTGTGGTCTATGTACAGGCACAGACTTTTCACTGTGTTCCCTCATCCTAATCCTACTTCAGTGCTGGGCACAAAATAGCCTCTTATAAATCTTTATTATGGGTGACTAGACAGATGGCTACAGGACAGACAGCACCTCATTGAGAGATATTCAGAGACACAATAGGTCTGTAATGCATGAAGTGTCTTCAGTGGGACCTTGAATGTAAAGTTTACAGAAGGCCAAATAAGACACATGAATGAGAATAACAGAGGTCTCCTGTTATGAGCTATCCTTATTATGTGAATTAACTTGGAGGATTGATTTAGGGCTAAAAAGGAAGAAGGAAAGAACTTGAAAATGTAAACCTAGAGAGAGAGAGGACAAGGTCACTAAAGAAATGTGTCATTCCTGTGGGTACTTTGAATTTAGTAGCACAAACCAGCACACATTTGCTGTGGTACAGTTCAGGAGGTCAGAAGTCCACACAGCTGTACCTGGGTTAAAATGAAGATATCAGCAGGGCTTTGTTAATTCTGGAGCTCTAGGTATTGTAGGTCCACTTAAACCCAACATGTATCCAATCAAACACCAGGCCAATGCAGATGACAAAAATTTATTATAATCAAGCCACTACTGGTTGATCAGGGCTGACTCTGAGAACAGACTCAGGAGCTTAACTATGACCCTGAAGGGACTTTTTACAGCATATTTAAATGGTAAAACCATAGAGCTAAGAGGGTAGGGAGGTTATAGCATTTTCCAATCATATTTTGACGGAAAGGGTTGAGCAAGGGAATTTCCATCAGTCAGGATAGGAGTTGTTCCCTGAGCCTGGGGACATGAACTGATTTGACTGTGCTAGCGAGATGGAGAGGTTGCCCTTAAGATGTCTGGCCTCAGATAACTGTCGCCTTACAACAGAAGCTGTTCAGCTATTGGGAAGCTCTCCTAGGGCCTGGGACCTTGAATCTAATTTCTCCTTGTGATTAAATGGAGTCTGAAAACAAAATAGTAGTACTTAGAATAAATTTCTTTTGCTTGTTCCCAACACTGGGGACAATTCAATTCAAGAGGCCACCTACAGATCTTGGCTCCTAGCTTTTCAAAGCCAGAAGCACATATTGAACTCTTTCTGCCATTCACTTGCAAGAACCCTTGTGGTTATACTGGTACATCCAAATAATTCAAAGTCCTGACCCCCGGACCTTAAAATAAGATTCCCTGCATCATCTGTACTTTTATCATTCAGAGAAATAGTCACAGGTTCATCACAAGGATGTTAGCATGTCTCAGTGCCAATGCCTGCCCTTTTATCATGGGATGTGGAGGGCAAAGCACATGGGTTCCCCAACATGCTCTATACTTGTGTCTCTAAGGATAAAAGGGACTATGGCTGGAAGTTAGAGAGATGTATCGGTAAACATATTTTCTAATTCTGGCCAAAAGGCCTTTTGGGAGTTGAGTTGGCACTTCTGCCAACATATTCCCTGGCAAGTGTACTTTACGTTCTCTGAGGGTTTGGGGATCTCCTGCAGAGTGCAGCTGTCTAGTGAAGAACACTCACATGGGGCTGATGGAGGATATAACAATCCTAATTGAAGAAAACTTGGAGATCCCACCAAAATCAGAGTCCCCCCAAACAGTATATGAAAATGATTTGGGGGAACAGAGGACTTAAAAGTGTAGGTATGGGTAAAGAATGATCATACTTTACATTAGCAGAAATAACAGCAGCAATGACAACCACTGTGAACTGCCTACTCCATATTCAGCAGATAGCTAACATGTAGCCATGTTACATGTAATATATGTTGTATTTAAAATATGTGAATACATTTTTCGGTTGCAGCACTTGTGTTCATAGCCAGGGCAAGTAAGTCTTCATGGAATACTGGTGATAATTACAGGAATGAGCACTTATCATCCTCTAGTTGAATTTTTTTCATCTATGTGTGTGTGTAGGGGTAGAAGTCAGTAGACAATCTTGGGTGTCAGTCCTCCTCTTCTACATTGTTGAGACCAAGTCTCTTATTGGGCAGTGTACTCACCAGGCTGCCTGGTCAGTGAGTAGGTCCAGTGAATTCCACTCAAGTCATCAGCTGTGGCAGCAAGCGTCCTTACCACTGAGCCATCTAATGTGCTCTGAGACATAAATGTGTGTGCACATTTTCAGACACGCATATACTTTTCAAAGCTAAAAGCAACCTGATGCCTTCTGGTGGACGACTGAGCATGCCACTGTGGTAAGTGCTCACAATGAGATCTTAGCCATCATGGATCAATCTTGAGAGTATCATACTGAAAGGATGTCATTCGTCAGAGGAAAAACCCCTTACCATTTCATATGAGGCTCCTAGAATAATGGAATTAATAAAAAAAAAACTTCATGTCTGCTGGACTATGGGGGAGGGGAAATGGGAAGTGGTTCTTCAATGAGAACAGAGCCTCAGTCTCACAAGATGAAAAGTTTCTAAAGATTAGTTGGTTGAACCAATGTCAATACATTTATTACTGAACTGTATATTTTAAAATGTTTAACGTGATAGGTCTTGTCTCTTTTGATATAGACTTTTTAAAAGTTTTAAGTACATCATGATTATATATAATATATATTTGATTACCTACTGAGAAATATGTACATATACACATGTATATATAGATAGAAACATATATACCTCTATTAAGAAATACATATACATAGAGCACAATGGCTCGAATCTCAGCACTCTGGAAGCTAAGATAAGAAAATATCCATAAGCTCAAAGCAGCCTGGACTACACAAAGAGCTCAAGAACAATCTAGGCTACAGATTGAACCTATGTCTCAACAAACAAGATAGAAACTAGTCCCAGCTAGTCTCAAACTCACAATCCCCCTGCCTCATCCTCCCAAGAACATGATTATACATCTTGACTTTACATATTTTCCATATTACAGCAGAAAATTCAAACCTAAAGAGTAATCAGCAAAAAGCAATACTTCCATATAGATTACAGATATTCCAGTGGCCTCTAAGTCCTGGCAAAGAACTATTTCTGATCAGAGCTAAGTGGAAGTGTGAGGCTTTCCAACCATGTTTCTGTTCTTCCCAGTTTAAATGGCTGGCAATTGGGACCTTCAGACAGACAGCGTTTTCTCTGGGCATATATCCACATAAAACAATGACTGGAGCTGAGGTGGACAGGGCCTGCCACAATGGATGTCCTGTCACTCAGATCTACAGGGTGTTTTTGTCTCTCATTACTTCCTATTCCCCTTAGCTGTTCAAATATTTAACAATCACTTCATAATTCCTCATATTTAGTAGATATCAGAGTTGTAGACCCAGACTATAGAGGCATGGTTCCAAATATATGACTTTGATTCAGAAGTTATGTCCAGGTTTCTAAAAAGAACAGGATATTTAAGGGGAGAGGCTGTAACTTTCTATGGCTGTGATCTTTATGACATTGAAGAACCTATGGAATAGTGTTGTCTCCAAAGGGTAAGGATGACTCTCTGTGAGAGAAAATAAGTACTGGACTCAGATCCAGGGGAACAAGGTACTTTTTTTTTTCTTTTTTTTTTCCATTTTTTTTTTATTGGATGATTTATTTACATTTCCTATGTTGTCCCCTTACCCCATCCCCCACCACCCCCTCGGAACCCCCAATCCCCTCGCCCCTCCTCCTTCTTCTCTGTGGATGTAACCTCTATCTACCCCCCCCACTCCCACCTCCCCACCCTCAAAATTCCCACCCCCTGGGGCATCCAGCCTTCATGAGGTCAAGGTTCTCTTCTTCCACCTATGCCCAGCAGGGCCCTCCACTTTTACATATTCAGCTGAAGCCCTGGATCCCCCCCTAAGTGCTCCCAGGCTGGTGGTTTAGACCCTGGGAGCTGTGGTTGGTTGGTATTGTTGCTCTCCTCATGGTGCCATAAATCCTTTCAGCTCCTTCAGTCTTCACTCTAACTTCTCTATTGAGAACCCCATGATCAGTTCAATGGCTAGTTGTGAGCATCTGCCTCTGAATATGTCTGACCCTTGAAGACCTCTGAGGAGACATCCATATCAGGCTCTTATCAGCATGCACTTCCTGTCTTCCACATCAGCATCTACCTTTGGTGATTGCACATGGGATAGATACTCAGGTGGAGTGGTCTTGAGACGGCCCCTCCTTCAGTTTCTGTCCCTCACTTTGTCTCCATATTTGCTCCCTTGAGTATTTTGTTGCTCCTTCTAAGAAGGACCGA